CTTTCTTTCTTTCTTTCTTTCTTTCTTTCTTTAATTTCCTCCCTCTTTTTCTCTTTTGTTTGTTTTGTGTCTTTGCTCTGTTTTGAAATGTTGCTATAAATGTTATAAATTTAAAAAAAATCCTCAGTTTTGTCATCAGGTGGAGACGTTGGGCCTGCTCCACCTGCTGGTCCTGGATGAGAATTGGTTTGAAGAGTAATGACCAGTTTCTACACAACTCCTTTGAGTTCCAGGAAGTTGTCTTTAAAAGTTTTTGTCAACATGTTGACTGATCCTGGGGCAGAGCATCAGTTTGTGTTTGACTTTCTTTTCCTGTCCAACCCCCACAAAACAAAGCAAACAAAACGTCAAGTTAACGCTAGTGAGTTTTATTTCATTCCAATGACTTATTTTGTTAACTCATGAGGAATTGACACGGTTCAGAGTGTCTGACGTTCCAGTGGCCCCTGCAGCTGTGAGCTCATGGGATCAGTGCACACAGCAGAATCAAGCCCCTCCAGTCTCACCATGTTTCATGTCTTCACTGCTTTATGGAATGTAGAGCTTTAAGAAATTATAAAAACACAACTAAATAAAAACAAGCTGGACATATTTTCATAACTACCAGTAAGAAACCATTAAAAAAAACATCTTTTCAGGTGCGTATTTGTTACAGAGTTAAACTTCTCACACAGAATGTAGAACAGATACAGAATATTAAACATTTGGACTTCAGATCACATGAACTCATTGCAGCTCACGATCCAAACCATCCGTTTTTTAAAAAAATCAGCTGATTAGTTACAGAAAAACTGCTTATTTCGGCCAAACTGAAAGGCACACTGACTGACGACGTGACGTTTCATAGGTTTTATTTTGAAAGCCTAAAAGGGGAAGAAACAAACAAAACAAACATCTATTTTGCTCCAGTCACAACAAACATGAATTGAAAATGTCCCTCTCTGTCGAGGCTGTTGAAATGACACAGTTCGTGATTAAACTTGTTGCTTTTCTTGGTGGTAGCTGGGTTATTGCACGTCTTCATCAGGAAGTGAAGCAGAAGCAGAGTGTCTGCTCTGAGCGGGACAGAAGAGTGCTACAGTGTTTCAGCAATACGTCTCGTCAGCTCACTGCAGGAATATTGCTTTGAAGTTGAGTGATATGTTGTTCAGTCTTCACAAACAATGCTTGATCTTTGTATTTAACAGGAGTCTTGTCATTTTGACGGGAGGTCAGTGTGGTGGGCCGCGGGCGTCCCTTCGGCTGGCAGCGGCGCTACGACACCCGCTTCCTGGAGCTGGTTCGACCCAGGCTGGCAGTGCTAGAGCGGCGGGAGAGGACGGGGGTGGCAGCGGTGGGAGAAGCCTCGCTCGAACCCCCGTGTTGGAGCAGAATGTCGATGCAGCCTTTGCTCCCTGTTTTTCTGGCAATCATTATCGGTGTCTGGCCTTGGCCGTCTTTTGCTTTCACGTCGATTCCGTACTGTGGAGAGAGGAGCATAAAAACACCACGATTAATCCTGTTTCTGTGTGAAACCCTACAGTTCTGCATGAAATCCACAATAAAACCCTCTTCAACATCCATTTCCTTTTAAATTTTATTACCTGAACTCATAAAGCACGTGTCAAAGGTCCGTGGGTCAAATGTGGTCACCAGGGCATTTTACGTGGCCCCAAGTGGAGTGTCAACGATGTATTAATGTCTTTAAATAAGTGTAAGCTGCTTTATAGCCAGCACTGACCATAAACTACATCTCCCATAATGCATTATTTTAACCACAAAAGGACATTATCCTGACACTACGAGCTGCACAGGTTTTATAAGTAACTGTATAAAACCTACATTTAGCTGCATTTTCACCGGCTACTTTTGCTGCAGCCAAGTTGTACTGGGAAGTGAGAATTTCCTATTTACAAGTTGTGAATTTAAACTGGAACACCCCTCCAGTGGGAATTCCCTGTTGGAAAGWGGGATAATTCAAAATTCAAGACAACAGCTTCTCACTACTAATCAACAGGGAGAAACTTTTACTGTTAATAGTATTTCTGTAGTATTTACCATTGATCTGTATTACTGGATTGGACATCACGTGACTTATCGTGCGCCGCACAGGTACCATTGCTGTGCATTGAGTTCTGACTCAGGAACATCCATGAATGGTGGTAAAAATGAGATGCAGCAGACAGTCACGCAAGAAATATCAAAAAGGGATGCAATATTTTACCATAAATTGTCAACACTACAACAAGATCACAAGATCAAGGTTATCACATTTCACAGTCATTAAAATATTGTTTATTTTAAAAAATGGCGAAGATGCAGAAAGTAGGTCATTTATGCTAGCTTGATTTTGACAACCTTTTGTTGGATAAACTCTGCTGTTCCAACAAATTATCATTTTTTAATTAATATTGTTTTATGTTAGTGTCATGATTTGTCAGTTTTCACCTTAGTTTTCCTAGTGTTTTTTATGTTCCCCAGTGTGTCTCAGCCCAGCTGCCCCACATTTCCTTGATTGTCACCCTTGTGTTTCTCCCCAGGTGTTTTCGGTTTAGTAATTAGCTTTCTGTGTATTTAAGCCCTGTCCTGTCTCAGTCTTGTGTCGGATCATTTTGTGTCTGCTGTGCTTTGTCCCCTGCCTGTGTGATCTCTGTGT